CTTTCTCTCTCTCTCTCTCTCGCGCAATGTTTGAAAATCACATTTTTTGACAATTTTCAGATTGGTCCGCATTTCCTCCCGCCGCGCCTAAATGGCGAAACATACGCACATTTTCTGGAAAATCAGTTACCCGGCCTTCTCGAGGAAGTTCCTTATCACGAGCGATTTGAACTCATTTTCCAGCACGATGGGGCTCTTGCTCATTTTTCGCGGCAGGCACGCGAAGTATTAAACACGCGCTATACGGACAGGTGGATGGGTCGAGGTGGCCCAATCATCTGGCCGGCCCGGTCGCCGGATCTTAACGTACTAGACTATTTTGTTTGGGGTTATATTAAAAATTTAGTCGAGCACAGGCGAGATGGTACAGAAGCTCAAATGCGAAATGCAATTCGCGAAGCTTTTGCTACCATCACGCCGGATATGGTGCACCGCGCAACGCGTAATATTACTCGAAGGGCCGAACTCTGCTTACGAGAACGAGGAAGGCACTTCGAACAATTTTTGCATTAAATTATTAGGGTATTATTATTAAGGGTATTATTATTAAGGTGGATTAGGCCTGCTGGGGAACCACATAAAAAAAAACGCGCCATGCTATCTACCGCAAGGTGGTGTGGAAATGATAGCGCTTTATCATTTTCATGTCATTTCATGTAAAGAAAATTATTTTTCGACGCTTGAACACACGCACGCACGCACGCACATACACACATGCACGAAGAATACATTTTCCTAATTAATATGTAAAAGATTGTATTTTAATAAAAAGACGTAGAACAATCATAAATCAAAGCGGAGGGCTAGCGCTACACGCCGTTCGTACGTAGCCATCGTCGTCTGCCCCACGCGCCTAGCAACGGCCAGCGGTGGGGCGGCCGTTTCTCGCCGCGCGCCTGCATTCAGCGATGGGCCGGACGGATACGCGTTTATTCGCCAATCTTTAAAAATTAATATCTCGTTAACGATTGCGAATTTTGTAAAATGGTAGAGGACTTTTCT